ACACAGTCTTGATAGCAACAAGTCAGAAAGAACTACAGGAAATGATAGACATTGTGGTGTTAGAAAGTGTAAGAATGGGCCTCAGTTTGAATAATGGGAGAGCAGAAGTAATGGTGGTATCAAAGAAACGAATTATTCCTAAGTGTGTAATAAAAGTCGATGGTGTTATTTTAGGACAAGTACAGACATTTAAGTATCTGGGCACATGGATAACATCAGATGGAAGATGCATAACTGAGATAAGAAACAGTATAGGACAGGCAAAAACTGCATTTTATAAAATGAAAAACTTCTTGTGCAATATATCCTTGTCATTAAGAGTTAGAAAAAAAAATTCTTGCTTGCTACATACATCTACTTTTTACACATGGCTGTGAATCCTGGACAATCGGTAGTCAAGTCAAACAATTTCTGGAGGCCTCGGAGATGTGGTTTTACAGAAGAATGCTTAGAATACCTTGGACAGCCTAAAAGAGCAACTAAGAGGTTTTGAAAGAGGCGGGAGCCCGAAGACAACTTATCACAGACATCAGAAGGAGACAGTCATCATTTTTCGGCCATGTTATGAGAAGAGGGAAAATATAACATGTTGTGACCACTGGAAATATATGTGGAAGGAGAGATAGAGGAAGACAACGAGAGAAGATGCTTGACAATCTTGTTGCATGGCATGGAGGTGTGTCGGCACACGAACTGATACATGCTGCAGGAGATCGCAGATTATGGAGACTACACCCGCGTATGTATACTCAGTAATTCAGTAAGTATGATCCGGAGGGTTCAGGCTGGTTCGGTGAGAAGACAATGGCTTGAATCATTACAGAAGTGAAATCTCGCTATCTCAGTTCGTTAAACCTGACTGCGCGGCGACCGGTTGGCGAACTCCTTGTGATTCAGGTTCACGCCCGGGGGTAGGGAGAAAAGTCACATTTCTCCCAGATTTACGAATCTATCATGGAATCAAGGTCGAAGGGTTGCGATATTCATAATACTGAGCCAAAAGGTTAACAACTTATGGTTTCTGGATACTTTTTAAAAAAAAAATTTAAAAAAGCTCCCGCCCTCTGACCCCGCCAGCCTCGCTGCGGGAATCTCGATGTTGTGCAGTCGCTCGTGACTGTTGACACGATGTTGGTTATATATTTCGTTTATATGAAGGTCATAGCACCATATATCACGGAGACTCTAACACCCCATATGTAACCAACTGACACGACAACTTGACCCCCTTAGTCACTGGGCCCTAACACAACGCCATGACACACACCACGTTGTCATAATTTCCCCCTCTATATAAAGGCATAGCACCATATACCGTGCCCATCACAAAGGCCACTCAAACTCCTGATGTAAGTAGCTGCCATGACAACTCGACCCCTTTACTGAACCATCGCGTCTAACAACATGACACGTTTGGGAGACTGCGTGGTCTCGGGGCATGGCGTCTAACAACATGACACGTTTGGGAGACTGCGTGGTCTCGGGGCATGGCGTCTAACAACATGACACGTTTGGGAGACTGCGTGGTCTCGGGGCATGGCGTCTAAAAACATGATACGTTTGGGAGACTGCGTGGTCTCGGGGCATGGCGTCTAAAAACATGATACATTTGGGAGACTGCGTGGTCTCGGGGCATGGCGTCTAACAACATGACACGTTTGGGGAACTCCGTGGTCTCGGGGCATGGCTTCTAACAACATGACACGTTTGGGGAACTCCGTGGTCTCGGGGCATGGCTTCTAACAACATGACACGTTTGGGAGACTGCATGGTCTCGGGGCATGGCGCCAAACAACATGACACGTTTGGGAGACTGCGTGGTCTCGGGGCATGGCGCCAAACAACATGACACGTTTAGGGAACTGCGTGGTCTCGGGGCATGGCGTCCGCTTCGAGTGCTGGAGGTCCTGGGTTCTGGCCCCATTGAAGGCTGGGAATTTTTACGTGGACTTCTAGTAATTTGCCCTGTCTCTGGGTCGTGAGATCAGACGCCCGTGTGTATTTTTGCGCATGTAAAATCGGCAATTGGAAATCGAAAAGAGCAGCCTAACGGCGCTGCCTGGACAAAATTTGAAGTTAAAAATCTACCTAAAGTATTTCAGGATTCTCGCCCGGGCTACGGAGTTCGCTCACTGCACTGACTTTTTCGTGTTCAGGCTTGAGTCAGAAGTTGAAAGGAGCGCTTATTTGTTACTCTGTGGGCCATGATGTTGATCCGTCGTCTAAATCTAAACCCCTAAACATGAAACCACACCAGCTTATACTTTCTATCCTCTGCCACCAAGCACCAATAGTTTTCTTTATTCTACTTTATAACCCCATCAAATAGTCCCAGTCCCAACCACCCCTGTTCCCTACTGCCATGAACCCCTAGGATCCTCTGCTCCGCTTGCCCCCACCACTCTCGGACACATAGCCGCAACCACCCCCGAGCAGTAGCTGACCCTTGATCCCAAATCAATTGACCTAAGCCCTGTAAAGTGACCTTTATCGGGAGCAATTTGACTCCACCGCTCGCTCGGCGGTGGAAATCCTTTTTTCCCATTATTTCCTTAGTAGCGGTGGTGTAATAAAGGTTGTGTAGGGGCCAAGCACTAACAATAATACGCGTAAATTCTCACGGACACACACCAGACACACACACCAAACACACACCACCCACACACACACACCACCCACATACACACCAGACACACACACCACACACACACCACACACCAAACACACACCACCCACACACACCAGACACACACACCACACACCAAACACACACCACCCACACACACACACACACCACCCACACACACACCAAACACACACCACCCACACACACACACACCACCCACACACACACCAGACACACACACACACCACACACACACCAGACACACACACCAGACACACACACCACACACACCACCCACACACACACACCACCCACACACACACACACCACCCACACACACACACACCACCCACACACACACACACACACAAACCACACACACACACCACCCACACACACACACACCACCCACACACATCAGACACACACACCAGACACACACCACACACACACCAGACACACACACCACACACACCACCCACACACACACACACACACACACCACCCACACACACACCACCCACACACACACAACACACACACCACCCACACACACACCAGACACACACACCACACACCAAACACACACCACACACACCACCCACACACACACACACCACCCACACACACACCAGACACACACATACACCACACACACACACCACACACACTACACACACACCACTCACCAATGGTTAAGATCAGCCATCCATTTACAAGGGGTAAATTGCTGTTGTGTGTTATAGTCCAAGTGGTCAACATACAACATACACAGCTGGTCAACGTACAACATACACAGCTGGTCAACATTCAGAGGCAGAAACACAAGCTAGTGAAATAGACACAAAGGGCACACACATATACAAGGAGACACAGACACTAGCGACACATACACACAGACACTAAACACACACACAGACACAAAACAGGCACACATAAACTAAACACGCACAGCAAATACATACACAAAACACAAACACACACAGCAAATACATACACAAAACACAAACACACACAGCAAATACATACATACAGACATAAACACACACAGCAAATACATACACAAAACACAAACAGCAAATGCATACATACAGACCTAAACACACACAGCAAATACAAACACAAACACAGCAAATACACACACAGAGACACAAACACACAAAACAAATACATACATACAGACACAAACACACACAGCAAATACATACATACAGACACAAACACACACAACAAATACATACACACAGACACAAAACATGCCGACAGACACACACATAGACATGATACAGAAGCAAAAAAACAACGTCAACGAAGAAGCAGAACCTTCATTACAGAGGAGCGGATATCACATGACTTTACCCCTTCTCTCTGCCCACCTCCGTGTGTGACTGGCTGTAACGGTGAGTACGTTGCTGTCACCACACCTGTGTAAGATCTGACATGCTGTATCTGTGAGCTCATCTCCCACCCCATGGCCCGGGCTACCCGTGACTCTCGAGCACCTGGCACCTGATAGTGTTGTCACCCGGGCCGGCCGGCGTGGTCTCCCCTGAGACATGGCCAGGTGACAATAACAGTTCCAGGAAGCGTCCCAGGTGTATGTCGCTGTGTCGGATAGACAATTTCATCACATCAGGTCAGTTTGTGTTGTGTGGCTGCCTTCTCGAGGCTGTAACATCTGCTAGGTTGAGTCTGCAATTAGCCACAACTGTTACCTGAACAGAGGTGGGTCACAACAGCAGATTTTCAAACGTGACTAGGGCCTGTTTACCTGTGGGCCGCCATCTTGTCCCGGTACATCCTGCCTGTCCTAGGCCGTCTCTGTGTCCCAGAGCTGCTTTCTTGCTGCACGGTCCACGGCTCTCCTTCAGTCTTGCCAGGTGCCATAGGTCCAGCATCGCAGCAGAGCATCTAGTATGTGCTATACGCCTCAGGTCACATAGACGAGCTGTCCCGGTTTGTAGCAGCGCGCTTTCTTGTATTTATGGTCTCAGCAAACTCCACTTCCGGGTTCTCAATGAGAAAACTTGTGTATGTTCGTCCTACGGTCTGTATGTCCTAAGGTCTGTTCGTCCTACGGTCTGTATGTCCTACGGTCTGTTCGTCCTACGGTCTGTATGTCCTACGGTCTGTTCGTCCTACGGTCTGTGTCCCCTACGGTCTGTTCGTCCTACGGTCTGTTCGTCCTACGGTCTGTATGTCCTAAGGTCTGTTCGTCCTATGGTTTTAGTCAGGTGTGTTATTATTGTTATGTGCATTTAACTATTTCATTGACTGTATTTTTTTGGGTCAACTTTTATCCCCACAGCCCACTAATTTTGTGTCAGGACCTTTCAATCATCTCAAGTCTCAAGCAGAAAGGTCGCTTGTAACCATGTCTGAGAATGGTGAAGTTGGCCATGCAGAGCCAGCCTCTGTGGCTCGGCTGCCTGCAGTGCCTGAAAACAAGACCAGAATTCAGCGGCCCATGATGTGCAAAGTCTTGTTGCTCAGTGGAGAAGATTACGAGGTGGCCATCGATGTAAGTCTGGGAGATTTTGTGTGGATGATTTAATAAACCATCAGTGACTTGTTGTTTTCTTTAAAGTTTAGGCATAATTATGTGCCAGTGAATTAGAAACCAAGCGTGTGGGAACTAGAAACCAGTTGTGTGTGAATTAGAAACCAGGCATGTGTGAATTAGAAAAAAGTCAAAACTGTTATATAGTGGACTGGTGATCTCTCTGGCACCCCAAGGTAAAAGGATTGACAATAAGTGAAGTTGAGAGTATCTCTCTGCCACCCCAAGGTAGAAGAGGATTGACAATAAGTAAAGTTGAGTCTCTCTCTGGCACCCCAAGGTAGAAAAGGATTGACAATAAGTAAAGTTGAGTCTCTCTCTGGCACCCCAAGGTAAAAGGATTGACAATAAGTGAAGTTGAGAGTATCTCTCTGCCACCCCAAGGTAAAAGGATTGACAATAAGTGAAGTTGAGAGTATCTCTCTGCCACCCCAAGGTAGAAGAGGATTGACAATAAGTAAAGTTGAGAGTGTCTCTCTGGCACCCCAAAGTAGAAAAGGATTGACAATAAGTAAAGTTGAGTGTCTCTCTGGCACCCCAAGGTAAAAGAGGATTGACAATCAGTAAAGTTGAGTCTCTCTCTGGCACCCTAAGGTAGAAGAGGATTGACAATAAGTAAAGTTGAGAGTGTCTCTCTGGCACCCCAAAGTAGAAAAGGATTGACAATAAGTAAAGTTGAGAGTGTCTCTCTGGCACCCCAAGGTAAAAGAGGATTGACAATAATTAAAGTTGAGAGTGTCTCTCTGGCACCCTAAGGTAGAAGAGGATTGACAATAAGTAAAGTTGAGTCTTTCTCTGGCACCCCAAGGTAAAAGGATTGACAATAAGTGAAGTTGAGAGTATCTCTCTGCCACCCCAAAGTAGAAAAAGATTGACAATAAGTGAAGTTGAGAGTATCTCTCTGCCACCCCAAGGTAGAAGAGGATTGACAATAAGTGAAGTTGATAGTATTTCTCTGCCACCCCAAGGTAGAAGAGGATTGACAATAAGTAAAGTTGAGAGTGTCTCTCTGGCACGCCAAGGTAAAAGGATTGACAATAAGTAAAGTTGAGTCTCTCTCTGGCACCCCAAGGTAGAAAAGGATTGACAATAAGTAAAGTTGAGAGTGTCTCTCTGCCACCCCAAGGTAGAAGAGGATTGACAATAAGTAAAGTTGAGTCTCTCTCTGGCACCCCAAGGTAAAAGGATTGACAATAAGTAAAGTTGAGAGTCTCTCTCTGGCACCCTAAGGTAAAAGGATTGACAATAAGTAAAGTTGAGAGTCTCTCTCTGACACCCCAAGGTAAAAGGATTGACAATAAGTAAAGTTGAGAGTATCTCTCTGGCACCCTAAGGTAGAAGAGGATTGACAGTAAGTGAAGTTGAGAGTATCTCTTTGCCACCCCAAGGTAGAAGAGGATTGACAATAAGTGAAGTTGAGAGCCCCTCTCTGCCACCCTAAGGTAGAAAAGGATTGACAATAAGTAAAGTTGAGTGTCTCTCTGGCACCCCAAGGTAGAAGAGGATTGACAATAAGTGAAGTTGAGAGTCTCTCTCTGCCACCCCAAGGTAGAAGAGGATTGACAATAATTTTACTTTCGGGTGAAAACTGCTGAAATCATTCACTGTTTTAATGTGTTTTGTTCTGTTTGTTCAGTAGAATCGTCCATTTAGTTTTCAGTAATAATTTCACTGCTTTTTCCAACACCTTTTTTTTTTTTTAAAGAGAACAAAAATAGTGTCTTCTTGCATCTGGTAAGATAATGATAGCATGAGAAAATATATATCTGCTCTATTTGTCTGCACTCAGAAACGTTCAGTGGGACAGCTGTTGTACGAGCGAGTTTGTGATTATTTAGATCTCCTGGAGAGAGATTACTTTGGGCTGCTCTACAAATATGAACAGGATTCCGACAATGTCAAGGTAACATTGTTTACCTAGAACCATTCTTGTATGCTTGAGTCCTGTTGTTACATTTATTTCAGGTCAGTTTGTTTCTGAATTTTAATATTTGAATGTGAGTATATATATCTGACAACAATATAGACTAGCAAGACTGCAAGAACTTCCCAACCATTCAGCATTTATATTGTTTCACCAATTTAAATGCAAAACAACTTGCAAGAAAAAAATGAGTTTATTTTGTTTGACATTATCATCTGGATGTAGTTACAGTGGGAGAGGTTGGGGGGGGGGGATCTTTTGTCTACCATCAATACAAACTAAATTTCATGACATAAAACTTTTAATTGTATTGTTTTATCAAAATATAAAATGGGGTGCAAAATATCAGTCTTGTCAGTAGTATGGTACAGTTGTGTCCGTAGTATGGTACAGTTGTGTCATTAGTACGGTACAGTTGTCAGTAGTATGGTACAGTTGTGTCAGTAGTATGGTACAGTTGTGTCAGTAGTATTGTACAGTTGTGTCAGTAGTATGGTACAGTTGTGTCAGTAGTAAGGTACAGTTGTGTCAGTATGGTACAGTTGTGTCAGTAGTATGGTACAGTTGTGTCAGTAGTATGGTACAGTTGTGTCAGTAGTATGGTACAGTTGTGTCAGTAGTATGGTACAGTTGTGTCAGTAGTATGGTACAGTTGTGTCAGTAGTAAGGTACAGTTGTGTCAGTAGTATGGTACAGTTGTGTCAGTAGTATGGTACAGTTGTGTCAGTAGTATGGTACAGTTGTCAGTAGTACAGTACAGTTGTGTGAGTAGTATGGTACAGTTGTGTCAGTAGTATGGTACAGTTCATAGCATCCTTCAATACAAAGTGGCACCTGTCAGTAGTGTGGTACAGTTCATAGCATCCTTCAATACAAAGTGGCACCTGTCAGTAGTGTGGTAGAGTTCATAGCATCCTTCAATACAAAGTGGCACCTGTCAGTAGTATGGTACAGTTCATAGCATCCTTCAATACAAAGTGGCACCTGTCAGTAGTATGGTACAGTTCATAGCATCCTTCAATACAAAGTGGCACCTGTCAGTAGTATGGTACAGTTCATAGCATCCTTCAATACAAAGTGGCACCTGTCATTAGTATGGTACAGTTCATAGCATCCTTCAATACAAAGTGGCATCTGTCAGTAGTATGGTACAGTTCATAGCATCCTTCAATACAAAGTGGCACCTGTCAGTAGTATGGTAGAGTTCATAGCATCCTTCAATACAAAGTGGCACCTGTCAGTAGTATGGTACAGTTCATAGCATCCTTCAATACAAAGTGGCACCTGTCAGTAGTATGGTACAGTTCATAGCATCTTTCAATACAAAGTGGCACCTGTCAGTAGTATGGTACAGTTCATAGCATCCTTCAATACAAAGTGGCACCTGTCAGTAGTATGGTACAGTTCATAGCATCTTTCAATACAAAGTGGCACCTGTCAGTAGTATGGTAGAGTTCATAGCATCCTTCAATACAAAGTGGCACCTGTCAGTAGTATGGTACAGTTCATAGCATCCTTCAATACAAAGTGGCACCTGTCAGTAGTATGGTACAGTTCATAGCATCTTTCAATACAAAGTGGCACCTGTCAGTAGTATGGTAGAGTTCATAGCATCCTTCAATACAAAGTGGCACCTGTCAGTAGTATGGTAGAGTTCATAGCATCCTTCAATACAAAGTGGCACCTGTCAGTAGTGTGGTAGAGTTCATAGCATCCTTCAATACAAAGTGGCATCTGTCAGTAGTATGGCACAGTTCATAGCATCCTTCAATACAAAGTGGCACCTGTCAGTAGTATGGTAGAGTTCATAGCATCCTTCAATACAAAGTGGCATCTGTCAGTAGTATGGTACAGTTCATAGCATCCTTCAATACAAAGTGGCATCTGTCAGTAGTGTGGTAGAGTTCATAGCATCCTTCATTACAAAGTGGCATCTGACAGTAGTATGGTTGAGTTCATAGCATCCTTCAATACAAAGTGGCACCTGTCAGTAGTATGGTACAGTTCATAGCATCCTTCAATACAAAGTGGCACCTGTCAGTAGTATGGTACAGTTCATAGCATCTTTCAATACAAAGTGGCACCTGTCAGTAGTATGGTACAGTTCATAGCATCCTTCAATACAAAGTGGCATCTGTCAGTAGTGTGGTAGAGTTCATAGCATCCTTCAATACAAAGTGGCATCTGTCAGTAGTGTGGTAGAGTTCATAGCATCCTTCATTACAAAGTGGCATCTGACAGTAGTATGGTAGAGTTCATAGCATCCTTCAATACAAAGTGGCATCTGTCAGTAGTGTGGTAGAGTTCATAGCATCCTTCATTACAAAGTGGCATCTGACAGTAGTATGGTAGAGTTCATAGCATCCTTCAATACAAAGTGGCATCTGTCAGTAGTGTGGTAGAGTTCATAGCATCCTTCAATACAAAGTGGCATCTGTCAGTAGTGTGGTAGAGTTCATAGCATCCTTCAATACAAAGTGGCATCTGTCAGTAGTGTGGTAGAGTTCATAGCATCCTTCATTACAAAGTGGCATCTGACAGTAGTATGGTAGAGTTCATAGCATCCTTCAATACAAAGTGGCATCTGTCAGTAGTGTGGTAGAGTTCATAGCATCCCTTATTACAAAGTGGCATCTGTCAGTAGTGTGGTACAGTTCATAGCATCCTTCAATACAAAGTGGCACCTGTCAGTAGTATGGTACAGTTCATAGCATCCTTCAATACAAAGTGGCACCTGTCAGTAGTGTGGTACAGTTCATAGCATCCTTGAATACAAAGTGGCACCTGTCAGTAGTGTGGTACAGTTCATAGCATCCTTCAATACAAAGTGGCACCTGTCAGTAGTATGGTACAGTTCATAGCATCCTTCAATACAAAGTGGCACCTGTCAGTAGTATGGTACAGTTCATAGCATCCTTTAATACAAAGTGGCATCTGTCAGTAGTATGGTACAGTTCATAGCATCCTTCAATACAAAGTGGCACCTGTCAGTAGTGTGGTAGAGTTCATAGCATCCTTCAATACAAAGTGGCACCTGTCAGTAGTGTGGTAGAGTTCATAGCATCCTTCAATACAAAGTGGCACCTGTCAGTAGTATGGTACAGTTCATAGCATCCTTCAATACAAAGTGGCACCTGTCAGTAGTATGGTACAGTTCATAGCATCCTTCAATACAAAGTGGCATCTGTCAGTAGTATGGTAGAGTTCATAGCATCCTTCAATACAAAGTGGCACCTGTCAGTAGTATGGTACAGTTCATAGCATCCTTCAATACAAAGTGGCATCTGTCAGTAGTATGGTACAGTTCATAGCATCTTTCAATACAAAGTGGCACCTGACAGTAGTGTGGTACAGTTCATAGCATCTTTCAATACAAAGTGGCACCTGACAGTAGTGTGGTACAGTTCATAGCATCTTTCAATACAAAGTGGCATCTGACAGTAGTGTGGTACAGTTCATAGCATCTTTCAATACAAAATGGCAGCTGACATTCCCTACACCAGTAACTTATCATGGTCCCTTTGCAGTCCTTTTTAATTCTGGATTCTTATATTTATCTTTTTCTACACACACTGTGCACTTTCTTCTGTAAACTGGGGCACTTCAGGAAAGCCTTGCAAATCACAGTGACAGTCATCAAGCAGTGGGGGGTGTGACAAATCTTCCACGGACTCATCAGTTGATGATGATTCTGCATCAAAAGCAGCAGTGATATCATCACCATGTGCAGGCACAGACACAATATCTTCAAAATCTACAGGCTCTGAATGAATATTTTCTCTAGAACTATCAGTATCGGAAACTGCTGCACTAGTGTTTGCTACAGAAGGTGTAACTGCCGGTCAAGTCTTAGTTAGCCTTGACTTTGAAGTGACATGCCGATGTTTCACTGAAGATGTTTTTCATGGCACTTCAATAGTTTTATAAAAGCCAGAGTCATCAAACTGTTTAATAATACCTTCATCTTCACTTTCCAAAGAAAATCAAATCAAGAAAATCAGAGCAGCATTAGAAAAATGATAAAAATGACCACCCCCATCGCTTCGAGAATTTGACGCCATGACGAAGATTTAGTCAACTGTCACCAACATGGGAGCTAACAATGAAAATTAATCATTTATTTAGTATAAGCACTACAAAGCTGTTTCCCTTAATTAAATTAGAGAAATGAACGGGCTAAAGGCTTTAACCAAATTCATCTAAAAAATCACGACTTTTACATGATATGGTTAAGCTCAATATAATGAGTGTGTTAACCATATGGTTAAGCTCAGTATAGGAGCACTCTGGCCTCATGTAGGTGATGAGGAAATGACAACCATAGTGAAACGAGACATCCCTCAAGTTTGTTTATTTCCTGGTTTCGGTATTTTTTCACTAAATTTCCTATATTTTAACTCATATTTCTTGTGTTTAAAATGTCATATTTCTTGTGTTTGAAGTGATGTATTGAACTGATATTTACAACTGGCATTTTTTCCAGTACTGGCTGGACCTCAACAAGAAAATCACCAAACAGAAAAAAAGTAAGTTGTGTAAAGTTAATCGCTTGTGTGTGTGTATATATGTGTGTGTATTTCTGCCTATCTCTTGAGTCCTGGGGGGGGGGGGGGGGGGTATGTATAGACCCACTCCCCCCTCCCCAGGCTCCAACCTCCCCCAACAAGCATATCCTACAAAGGTGACTAATGAAGGATGTTTCCTTTGAAGTTGAAGTACCAGGAGGACAGGAACCAACAGTCTGCATACAATTAAACCAAATTTTTTTTTTTTTTTTAAAGTATGTGTATGTACAACTCTGAAACAAGATTAAAATTCAGAACTGGACAAACAGAACATTTTACAGGAGTTTACGGCCAGTGAAATCAAAGATGAAGAAGTTACAGGTAGATGGCTGCATATCTTCATAAAATGTGTGTTTTCACACTTTTATGAAGACATAGTTTTAGATTCTTTGTTTGCCTACAAGATTGTGTGGATTCTGTGCATGTTTGCTGAATCTGTAATACTTTGTTTGCCTTCAAGATTGTGTGGATTCTGTGCATGTTTGCTGAATCTGTAATACTCTTGTTTGCCTTCAAGATTGTGTGGATTCTGTGCATGTTTGCTGAATCTATAATACCCTGTTTGCCTACAAGATTGTGTGGATTCTGTGCATGTTTGCTGAATCTATAATACCCTGTTTGCCTACAAGATTGTGTGGATTCTGTACATGTTTGCTGAATCTATAATACGCTGTTTGCCTATAAGATTGTGTGGATTCTGTGCATGTTTGCTGAATCTATAATACCCTGTTTGCCAACAAGATTGTGTGGATTCTGTGCATGTTTGCTGAATCTATAATACTCTTGTTTGCCTTCAAGATTGTGTGGATTCCGTGCATGTTTGCTGAATCTATAATACTCTGTTTGCCTACAAGATTGTGTGGATTCTGTGCATGTTTGCTGAATCTATAATACTTTGTTTGCCTACAAGATTGTGTGGATTCTGTGCATGTTTGCTGAATCTATAATACTCTGTTTGCCTACAAGATTGTGTGGATTCCGTGCATGTTTGCTGAATCTATAATACTCTGTTTGCCTACAAGATTGTGTGGATTCTGTGCATGTTTGCTGAATCTATAATACTCTGTTTGCCTACAAGATTGTGTGGATTCCGTGCATGTTTGCTGAATCTATAATACTCTGTTTGCCTACAAGATTGTGTGGATTCTGTGCATGTTTGCTGAATCTATAATACTCTGTTTGCCTACAAGATTGTGTGGATTCTGTGCATGTTTGCTGAATCTATAATACTTTGTTTGCCTAGAAGATATGTACAACAAGCATTCTTGGCCCCCGGTCAGTGAGGTCAGTCTCTACTGTAATATTTCTGCATCTCATCGGCTGTTTGTAGTGAGCTCATTAACATTTCATAAATATGTTATAGTTTGATCTGTCATTTGTCAGTATGGTAATTTATAGTGCTGTAGTAAATCTGTCATTAGTCTAAATCATAGTTTGATTGTCATGTTTGTTCAACAGGAGGCAAAATGTACTTTGAGTTTGCCCTCAAGTTTTATCCCCCTGACCCGACGCAGCTGACAGAAAGCATTACCAGGTAGAGTGATGTCCCTTGCAGTAGTTTTCACCACTTGTTGTGGCTACCTATGTATGCCAGTTTCATCATTTCATTTTCATTATAAAGCATTAACAACTTTGACATAAACTAAAGAGAAAACACAACAGCAATGAAGATTTGAATCAAAGAGGACATAACAACAACTTGTGATTCAAATAAAGTGGTTAGTTATTTCGGGGGGGGGGGGGGTAATATCTCCGGGATAATCTCTCCATAAGTGCTTCATTCTAACAGGGATAATCTCTCCATAGGTGCTTCATTCTAACCGGGATAATCTCTCCATAAGTGCTTCATTCTAACAGGGATAATCTCTCCATAGGTGCTTCATTCTAACCAGGATAATCTCTCCATAGGTGCTTCATTCTAACCAGGATAATCTCTCCATAAGTGCTTAATTCTCCTAACAGGGATAATCTCTCCATAAGTGCTTCATTTTAACCAGGAGAATATCTCCATAAGTGCTTCATTCTAACTGGGATAATCTCTCCATAAGTGCTTCATTCTAACCAGGAGAATATCTCCATAAGTGCTTCATTCTAACTGGGATAATCTCTCCATAAGTGCTTCATTCTAACAGGGGTAATCTCTCCATGGGTGCTTTATTCTAACCAGGATAATCTCTCCATAAGTGCTTCATTCTAACAGGGATAATCTCTCCATATAGGTGCTTCATTCTAACCAGGATAATGTCTCCATAGGTGCTTCATTCTAACCAGGATAATCTCTCCATAAGTGCTTAATTCTCCTAACAGGGATAATCTCTCCATAAGTGCTTCATTCTAACCAGGATAATCTCTCCATTGGTGCTTCATTCTCCTAACAGGGATAATCTCGCCATAAGTGCTTAACTCTGTCCGGGATAATCTCTCCATAAGTGCTTCATTCTGTCCGGGATAATCTCTCCATAAGTGCTTCATTCTGTCTGGGATAATCTCTCCATAATTGCTTCATTCTGTCCAGGATAATCTCTCCATAAGTGCTTCATTCTAACTAGGATAATCTCTCCATAAGTGCTTCATTCTGTCCGGGATAATCTTTCCATAAGTGCTTCATTCTGTCCGGGATAATCTCTCCATAAGTGCTTCATTCTAACTAGGATAATCTCTCCATAAGTGCTTCATTCTCCTAACAAGGGTAATATCTCCATAAGTGCTTCATTCTAACCAGGATAATCTCTCCATAGGTGCTTCATTCTAACCAGGATAATCTCTCCATAAGTGCTTCATTCTGTCCGGGATAATCTTTCCATAAGTGCTTCATTCTGTCCGGGATAATCTCTCCATAAGTGCTTCATTCTAACTAGGATAATCTCTCCATAAGTGCTTCATTCTCCTAACAAGGGTAATATCTCCATAAGTGCTTCATTCTAACCAGGATAATCTCTCCATAGGTGCTTCATTCTAACCAGGATAATCTCTCCATAAGTGCTTCATTCTGTCCGGGATAATCTTTCCATAAGTGCTTCATTCTGTCCGGGATAATCTCTCCATAAGTGCTTCATTCTAACTAGGATAATCTCTCCATAAGTGCTTCATTCTCCTAACAAGGGTAATATCTCTATAAGTGCTTCATTCTAACCAGGATAATCTCTCCATAGGTGCTTCATTCTAACCAGGATAATCTCTCCATAAGTGCTTCATTCTGTCTGGGATAATCTCTCCATAAGTGCTTCATTCTCCTAACAAGGGTAATATCTCCATAAGTGCTTCATTCTCCTTGCAGGGATAATCTCTCCATAAGTGCTTCATTCTAACTGGGATAATTTTTCCATGTGCTTCATTCTAACAAGGATAATGTCTCTTTAAGGGCTTCATTCTAACAGGATAATGTCACTATAAGGGCTTCATTCTAACAGGATAATATCTCTATAAGGGCTTCATTCTAACAGGATAATGTCTCTATAACGGCTTCATTCTAAAAGGGATAATGTCTCTATAAGGTCTTCATTCTAAAAGGGATAATGTCTCTATAAGGGCTTCATTCTAACAGGATAATGTCTCTATAAGGGCTTCATTCTAACAGGATAATTTCTCTATAAGGGCTTCATTCTAAAAGGGATAATGTCTCTATAAGGGCTTTATTCTAAAAGGGATAATGTCGCCATAAGTGCTTCATTTTCTCAATAAACCACCACCCAATTGCCCACACTGGAAATATTTTATGTCCAATATTTACTGTTACAGAAATCTTACTGTAGAATGCTGTTTTCATTTGTTTATTTGTTGACAGATACCTAGTCTGTTTACAAGTTAGACGAGACATCATTAGTGGCAAGTAAGTGTCAAGAGTCTGTTCTTGTCTTGTGGAGTCACATTGTGACTGTGAAACTTTCTACAAATATGTGATTGCAGATGTTTATCATTTGTTAATGTGTACTTGTTTAGTTAACAAACTTATAAGTTAATTTTTACTGGTATAATTGAAAATGAGTCCTGCTAGTGAAAAATGTTGTCTACCTTTATTTGATATTGTCTGGTGTATTTGCACATTTACACATTACTTGTAGCTGTTTAACAATTATTTGTAAATGTTTACCCATTATTTATAGATGTTTACCGATTATTTGTAGATTTTTACCCATTATTTGTCTTGTCAATGGCTATATGTTTACTGTTACTTGCTGTTCCTGTATATAATTAAAGATAGGAACAATAATTTAATCAGAGATATCCTATTCAGCCCGCGATGGCTATATTTATAAATGTTTCCCTTTAGTAATTGTTCTCGTGTGAGATTGCAAACATTGATACTGATGTGTGTTTGAGATTGCAAACATTGATACTGATGTGTGTTTGAGATTGCAAACATTGATACTGATGTGTGTTTGAGATTGCAAACATTGGTACTGATGTGTGTTTGAGATTGCAAACATTGATACTGATGTGTGTTTGAGATTGCAAACATTGATACTGATGTGTGTTTGAGATTGCAAACATTGATACTGATGTGTGTTTGAGATTGCAAACATTGATACTGGTGTGTGTTTGAGATTGCAAACATTGATACTGGTGTGTGTTTGAGATTGCAAACATTGATACTGGTGTGTGTTTGAGATTGCAAACATTGATACTGGTGTGTGTTTGAGATTGCAAACATTGATACTGGTGTGTGTTTGAGATTGCAAACATTGATACTGGTGTGTGTTTGAGATTGCAAACATTGATACTGGTGTGTGTTTGAGATTGCAAACATTGATACTGGTGTGTGTTTGAGATTGCAAACATTGATACTGGTGTGTGTTTGAGATTGCAAACATTGATACTGATGTGTGCTTGAGATTGCAAATATTGATACTGATGTGTGTTTGAGATTGCAAACATTGATACTGATGTGTGTTTGAGATTGCAAACATTGATACTGATGTGTGTTTGAGATTGCAAACATTGATACTGATGTGTACACTTGACAGACTGCCCTGCTCCCAAGCTACTCACGCTATGTTGGGCTCGTACGCTGTGCAAGCAGATATTGGAGATTATGACCCAATAGATCATGGTACCGGGATAGATTACATCAGGGACATGACCTTTGCTCCAGACCAGACGGACGACCTCTTGTATAAAATTGCAGCTCTTCATAAGCAACACAAGTAAGTTTGTGATCAAGAATATTTATTTTCTCCCTCCATTTTTGTGTTTTTTTTTTTTTTCTGATTCCTGAGTAAATGAGCCAACAAAATATAAAATGAAAGGAGTCGTCTTTTTAAGAACACAACCACAAAAGTGTCAGATTGAATCTTTCGGCCAGCTGTATTCCTTTCTCTTCCTTCCATCATTGTTTAGCTGGTCGTGTGCAGAACATCGCTTCCATCATGGCATGCCTGAAAGAAACTCTTCTGTTGCCAGTACTCACATCTCATGCACTTTCTTATCCCAGGAGTCACTTATATCCTGTTCCCATCTTCTTGTTGGTGAGCCCCTGCCCCTCCTTCCTGTACCATGCCTTTTGCTGTAACACTTAATATGGCCAAAATATTTCATCTTCTGAGACCTGATGCTGTTTATTAGACAGTCTTCCTTGATGTTCAGATCTTTTAGAATGTCACTATTTCCTGTTTGTCGGTATTATTCTGACAATCCTTTTATAGCATTTCAGCTCAGAAACTCTAGTTTCTTCCTTTACGGACTCCAAGATAGTTTGCACGACTTGCATCCGCATATTACTACAGGAAAGATGCATGCTCTCAAAGTACGTAACCATAGACTTTAAATGCTGTTTAGTCCTTGTATATATCTTTGTGTCTAATATTTTTTTAACAGATGTAGCAAACAATGTGCACATACATTTCTGTAGTTTTTACCTACAATATTGTAATGTATGTTCACATAGAAAATGTCCAACAGATATTTTGTAATTTACTTGTGTTTTTTTACATGAGCATACCCATAACTTGCTGGAGAGCATTTGTCACATTCCTGGCGGAGCTGCGGAGAGACATATGGTAGAACTGACAACTAAGCTTTGGGGAAACCTAAGAGACCTTGAAAAGACATCCCAGTTTATGATCCACAGTGGATTATGCGCATGACCAGAGATCGCTGAAGAAGAAGAAATGTCCCCAACGGTGACACTGCCCCCTGGGAAGTGAATCAGCCAGGCTACAGAGTCCTTCCAATCACAGGTCCCCTTGCCCCCTGGGAAGTGCATCAGCCAGGCTACAGAGTCCTTCCAATCAAATGTCCCCAACGGTGACACTGCCCCCTGGGAAAATGTCTGCTTTGAAGAGGATTTAGGTTTTCACCCCAGAAGCATAACTGAATTGTAGTTTTCCTCGACCACAGTTTGTGCACAAGAAATTGTGGTCTGATGATTATTGTGTCTGTTGTTAGACCTAGCTGTACAGTCAAAGATTTTAAGAGAGGATGTCTTGTTGTTTGGTTGTTGTTAATGAATGTTGGAGCAGGTGAAGTGTGCTGTGCTATTCCACAGAGGTCAGACGCCAGAACAAGCAGAGTTACATTACCTGGAGTATGCCAAGAAAATTGCACTTTATGGCATTGATCTTCACAAAGCAAAGGCAAGATTGTGTCTGTGTGATAAACTGGCCAGTTTTTTGTGTCTGTGATAAACTGGCCAGGTTTTTGTGTCTGTGTGATAAACTGGCCAGGTTTTTGTGTCTGTGTGATAAACTGGCCAGGTTTTTGTGTCTGTGTGATAAACTGGCCAGGTTTTTGTGTCTGTGTGATAAACTGGCCAGGTTTTTGTGCCTGTGTGATAAACTGGCCAGTTTTTTGTGTCTGTGTGATAAACTGGCCAGGTTTTTGTGTCTGTGTGATAAACTGGCCAGGTTTTTGTGTCTGTGTGATAAACGGCCCAGTTTTTTTTTCTTTTTTCTATTTTACAACAGCAACCTAAACTGTACAGCTAGAACAGTTTGTTCTTTCATGTTGTGATGGCTACATAAGTTGTATATCTACTTAACTACCACATCTACTTACCACAGTGACTACTGAAGTTGTATATCTACTTAACTACCACATCTACTTACCACAATGGCTACATAAGTTGTATATCTACTTAACTACCACATCTAATTACCACAATGGCTACAGAAGTTGTATATCTACTTAACTACCACATCTACTTACCACAATGGCTACAGAAGTTGTATATCTACTTAACACATCTACTTACCACAGTGGCTATATATCTACAATAGTTGCAAAACTACATTGACATGGCTACAATCTCATTCCTGACAAAATATGTTAATATTCATGTATTTCATAATTTAAAAATGAACACATCTTTGTTTAATACACAAATGTGCATATTTTATAAGCCTACATTGACATTCAACATTATTTGTAGCTCATGTGTCAGTTTTATATAAAACATAATTATTTGTCTGTTTTCTAAAATTGCTGTCACTTACGAGCACCATTTGAATTAGCATTTTGCTTTTAAAATATTGACTCAATTAGAAATTAAAAGTAAAAGCATTCAAAACAATATCTGAACAGCATGTCTATGCTTTATATTATGGGACCATTTCCTTTGACACATTAAGTGTGTAGTACCTTCTCCATGCCTGTGGTGTATCCGACATGTGATGCAAGACTCAGTTGAGACCAGATGGCATTCAATGGCAGATGGGATCAGCATCATATGGCTGCTGTTTATTGCTAGGACTTTGCCTGGTACCTATTTTAGATTGGGTAGACATGAGAGCCCAGGTTATTTTTTAACAAATCTGATTCAAAGCAGATTTGAACCCAAGATCATATAGGCTGGCAGGCAAGCATCTAGCCTCTTTGGCTCCAGTATGTATACAGTACTATCTGTATCTAAATATAGTCTTTAACTCTACCAGACCGATCTCCCGCTACTACAGTAATTTCCTAATCTGCCACTAAACCGGTGTTCCTCACTGTCGGTACTTTGCGAACTACGTGAAAACTATGCGTTGCGAACTACGTGAAAACAATGCGTCACAAACTAAAAATAACTAGCCAGTTGCGGTCAGACCACGTGGTTAGTCATTGTGAATTGCTGCCCACATGTGTTTAAATTTACTTTGTGTGGTTTAACATAAAAAATTCTTTAAATTCACAATGAAACGAGCGGCTGATGAACCAGCACTGCGACAGGAAAGTGAAATAGGTCTAGGAGGCTTTTCACAGTCCAACAGGTGATCGATACTTTGGTTGATTCAGACTCTGAGGAGTGAAAATTTCATGAAGAATACGTTCCCGGTTGAAGTGACACAGTCAGTTAGAGCTTGCGTGATGAGGAGAATCTTGAAAATTATAGATTTAAAACTAGATCGATAGTAAGAGAAGGGGGCATGTCCCTTAGACAGCAACATCTGGTGCTCACTTTGTACTGATCTTGCTGGGTTGATTGCCACACAAAGGTGGAGGATGATGAATGATAAAACTATTTCCTACAAGGTCTCCAAGTTTCTTCTTATTCTAACCACTTGTTTGCATGTAACTAATATTTGTGTATATCATGTTGGTTTTCTCATGTTGATGCCCAGTATCTCAGGTATAGAGGCAGGTTCAGAGCCCAAGGTATAGAGGCAAGTTAGGTTCAGAGCCCCAGGTAAAGAGGCAGTTAGGTTCAGAGCCCCAGGTATAGAGGCAGTTAGGGTCAGAGCTTCAGGTATAGAGGCAGTTAGGGTCAGAGCCCCAGGTATAGAGGCAGTTAGGTTCAGAGCCCCAGGTATAGAGGCAGTTAGGGTCAGAGCTTCAGGTATAGAGGCAGTTAGGTTCAGAGCCCAAGGTATAGAGGCAGTTAGGTTCAGAGCCCCAGGTATAGAGGCAGTTAGGGTCAGAGCCCCAGGTATAGAGGCAGTTAGGGTCAGAGCCCCAGGTATAGAGGCAGTTAGGTTCAGAGCCCCAGGTAAAGAGGCAGTTAGGTTCAGAGCCTCAGGTATAGAGGCAGTTAGGTTCAGAGCCCCAGGTATAGAGGCAGTTAGGTTCAGAGCCTCAGGTATAGAGGCAGTTAGGTTCAGAGCCTCAGGTATAGAGGCAGTTAGGTTCAGAGCCCCAGGTAAAGAGGCAGTTAGGTTCAGAGCCCCAGGTATAGAGGCAGTTAGGGTCAGAGCTTCAGGTATAGAGGCAGTTAGGTTCAGAGCCCAAGGTATAGAGGCAGTTAGGTTCAGAGCCCCAGGTATAGAGGCAGTTAGGGTCAGAGCCCCAGGTATAGAGGCAGTTAGGTTCAGAGCCCCAGGTATAGAGGCAGTTAGGTTCAGAGCCCCAGGTATAGAGGCAGTTAGGGTCAGAGCCCCAGGTATAGAGGCAGTTAGGGTCAGAGCCCCAGGTAAAGAGGCAGTTAGGGTCAGAGCCCCAGGTAAAGAGGCAGTTAGGGTCAGAGCCCCAGGTATAGAGGCAGTTAGGGTCAGAGCCCCAGGTAAAGAGGCAGTTAGGTTCAGAGCCCCAGGTATAGAGGCAGTTAGGTTCAGAGCCCCAGGTATAGAGGCAGTTAGGGTCAGAGCCCCAGGTATAGAGGCAGTTAGGTTCAGAGCCCCAGGTATAGAGGCAGTTAGGTTCAGAGCCCCAGGTATAGAGGCAGTTAGGTTCAGAGCCCCAGGTAAAGAGGCAGTTAGGTTCAGAGCCCCAGGTAAAGAGGCAGTTAGGGTCAGAGCCCCAGGTATAGAGGCAGTTAGGTTCAGAGCCCCAGGTATAGAGGCAGTTAGGGTCAGAGCCCCAGGTAAAGAGGCAGTTAGGGTCAGAGCCCCAGGTATAGAGGCAGTTAGGGTCAGAGCCCCAGGTATAGAGGCAGTTAGGGTCAGAGCCCCAGGTATAGAGGCAGTTAGGGTCAGAGCCCCAGGTATAGAGGCAGTTAGGTTCAGAGCCCCAGGTATAGAGGCAGTTAGGTTCAGAGCCTCAGGTCCGATAGGGTTAAAAGAGTATTATAGTAAGAACCTGTGGTGTTGCAGTGACCTGGAGGAACGGCCGGTGCATTGATATTCAGTGGCCAAAAGTATGAGCAATGTGAGTTTGAGGTGAAATTGTCATGTGTGAATATCTGAATGAGGTCATATGAATATTTCAGTGAATGGTTTGTTGTCTGACTGCAGGATTCTGACTACGTGGACATCTTACTGGGTGTGGGAGCTACTGGAATCTCTGTCTACAGGGACAACCTGAGGATCAACAGATTTGTGTGGCCAAAAATACTCAAAATCTCCTACAGACGCAACAAATTTCTTCTAAGAATCCGACCTGCAGAGGTCAGTTGATCACAGGGTTTGACCAGATTGATGGCTAATAAACCATTTCCTGCCACTTTTATTTCTTTTCATCTTGTGAAAATTTATTTCTCCTTTTATGTCCCCCTCGCCCAGCCCAAACCCATTGGCAGTATATCCTTAAAAAAAAAAAATGCACACACAATACTCTCTCTCTCTCTCTGCATCTCTCTCTCTCTTACACACACACACTTATAAACACGCATGCAGGCACGCACACCACCTCCCCCCCCCCCCCCCCCCCACTCATCTAGGTTCGTCAGCTTTAAAAAAGTTGACATTATGAAATGACTGTATCAGATTCAGAATTGCACTACTGTCATGAACACACTCTCATCGTGAACACACTCTCAGCATGAACACACTCTCAGCGTGAACACACTCTCATCATGAACACACTCTCATCATGAACACACTCTCATCATGAACACACTCATCGTGAACACACTCTCATCATGAACACACTCTCATCGTGAACACACTTTCATCATGACCACACTCTCATCGTGAACACACTCTCATCGTGAACACACTCTCATCATGAACACACTCTCATCGTGAACACACTCTCATCGTGAACACACTCTCATCGTGAACACACTCTCATCATGAACACACTCTCATCGTGAACACACTCTCATCATGAACACACTCTCATCGTGAACACACTCTCATCATGAACACACACTCATCGTGAACACACACTCATCGTGAACACACTCTCAGCGTGAACACACTCTCAGCGTGAACACACTCTCATCGTGAACACACTCTCATCATGAACACACTCTCAGCGTGAACACACTCTCAGCGTGAACACACTCTCATCATGAACACACTCTCATCGTGAGCACACTCTCATCGTGAGCACACTCTCATCGTAAGCACACTCTCATCGTGAGCACACTCTCATCGTGAGCACACTCTCATCGTGAGCACACTCTCATCGTGAGCACACTCTCATCGTGAGCACACTCTCAGCGTGAACACACTCTCATCGTGAACACACTCCAGCCGGGGTCTTTGAACTGTCATCGTGGACATGTTTATTTCCCAGTTTGAAACGTTTGAAAGTTGGATTGCATTTCGGCTTCCCAACAACAAGATGGCCAAACGCCTGTGGAAGATTTCTGTTGAACATCATTCATTTCTCAGGTATTTAATCAATTCTAGTTTTATCCAGAATGTCTGCCATTCTCTGCCATGTCTGATGATTGTCTGTTGTCTTATTATTGTCTGCCTTGTCCTATTGTGTTTTGCCTTATGATTGTCTGTTGTCTTATTATTGTCTGCCTTGCCCTATTATGTTTTGCCTTATGATTGTCTGTTGTCTTATTATTGTCTGCCTTGTCCTATTGTGTTTTGCCTTATGTCTGTTGTGTCTTATTGTTGTCTGCCTTGTCCTATTGTGTTTTACCTTAAGATTGTCTGTTGTCTTATTATTGTCTGCCTTGTCCTATTGTGTTTTGCCTGATGATTGTCTGTTGTGTCTTATTATTGTCTGCCTTGCCCTATTATGTTTTGCCTTATGATTGTCTGTTGTCTTATTATTGTCTGCCTTGTCCTATTGTTTTGCCTTATGTCTGTTGTGTCTTATTGTTGTCTGCCTTGTCCTATTGTGTTTTACCTTAAGATTGTCTGTTGTCTTATTATTGTCTGCCTTGTCCTATTGTGTTTTGCCTGATGATTGTCGTCTGTTGTGTCTTATTATTGTCTGCCTTGTCCTATTGTGTTTTACCTTAAGATTGTCTGTTGTCTTATTATTGTCTGCCTTGTCCTATTGTGTTTTGCCTTATGATTGTCTGTTGTGTCTTATTATTGTCTGCCTTGTCCTATTGTGTTTTGCCTTATGATTGTCTGTTGTGTCTTATTATTGTCTGCCTTGTCCTATTGTGTTTTGCCTTATGATTGTCTGTTGTGTCTTATTATTGTCTGCCTTGTCCTATTGTGTTTTGCCTGATGATTGTCTGTTGTGTCATATTATTGTCTGCCTTGTCCTATTGTGTTTTGCCTTATGATTGTCTGTTGTGTCTTATTATTGTCTGCCTTGTCCTATTGTGTTTTACCTTAAGATTGTCTGTTGTCTTATTATTGTCTGCCTTGTCCTATTGTGTTTTGCCTTATGATTGTCTGTTGTGTCTTATTATTGTCTGCCTTGTCCTATTGTGTTTTGCCTGATGATTGTCTGTTGTGTCTTATTATTGTCTGCCTTGTCCTATTGTGTTTTGCCTTATTATTGTCTGTTGTGTCTTATTATTGTCTGCCTTGTCCTATTGTGTTTTGCCTTATGATTGTCTGTTGTGTCTTATTATTGTCTGCCTTGTCCTATTGTGTTTTGCCTGATGATTGTCTGTTGTGTCATATTATTGTCTGCCTTGTCCTATTGTGTTTTGCCTTATGATTGTCTGTTGTGTCTTATTATTGTCTGCCTTGTCCTATTGTGTTTTACCTTAAGATTGTCTGTTGTCTTATTATTGTCTGCCTTGTCCTATTGTGTTTTGCCTGATGATTGTCTGTTGTGTGTAATTATTATTGTCTGCCTTGTCCTATTGTGTTTTGCCTGATGATTGTCTGTTGTGTCTTATTATTGTCTGCCTTGTCCTATTGTGTTTTACCTGATTATTGTCTGCCTTGTCCTATTGTGTTTTGCCTTATGATTGTCTGTTGTCTTATTATTGTCTGCCTTGTCCTATTGTGTTTTGCCTGATGATTGTCTGTTGTGTCTTATTATTGTCTGCCTTGTCCTATTGTGTTTTGCCTTATGATTGTCTGTTGTGTCTTATTATTGTCTGCCTTGTCCTATTGTGTTTTGCCTTATGATTGTCTGTTGTGTCTTATTATTGTCTGCCTTGTCCTATTGTGTTTTACCTTAAGATTGTCTGTTGTCTTATTATTGTCTGCCTTGTCCTATTGTGTTTTGCCTTATGATTGTCTGTTGTGTCTTATTATTGTCTGCCTTGTCCTATTGTGTTTTACCTTAAGATTGTCTGTTGTCTTATTATTGTCTGCCTTGTCCTATTGTGTTTTGCCTTATGATTGTCTGTTGTGTCTTATTATTGTCTGCCTTGTCCTATTGTGTTTTACCTTAAGATTGTCTGTTGTCTTATTATTGTCTGCCTTGTCCTATTGTGTTTTGCCTTATGATTGTCTGTTGTGTCTTATTATTGTCTGCCTTGTCCTATTGTGTTTTACTTTAAGATTGTCTGTTGTCTTATTATTGTCTGCCTTGTCCTATTGTGTTTTGCCTTATGATTGTCTGTTGTGTCTTATTATTGTCTGCCTTGTCCTATTGTGTTTTACCTTAAGATTGTCTGTTGTCTTATTATTGTCTGCCTTGTCCTATTGTGTTTTGCCTTATGATTGTCTGTTGTGTCTTATTATTGTCTGCCTTGTCCTATTGTGTTTTGCCTTATTATTGTCTGTTGTGTCTTATTATTGTCTGCCTTGTCCTATTGTGTTTTGCCTTATTATTGTCTGTTGTGTCTTATTATTGTCTGCCTTGTCCTATTGTGTTTTGCCTGATGATTGTCTGTTGTGTCATATTATTGTCTGCCTTGTCCTATTGTGTTTTGCCTTATGATTGTCTGTTGTGTCTTATTATTGTCTGCCTTGTCCTATTGTGTTTTGCCTTATGATTGTCTGTTGTGTCTTATTATTGTCTGCCTTGTCCTATTGTTTTGCCTTATTATTGTCTGTTGTGTCTTATTATTGTCTGCCTTGTCCTATTGTGTTTTGCCTTATTATTATCTGTTGTGTCTTATTATTGTCTGCCTTGTCCTATTGTGTTTTGCCTTATTATTGTCTGTTGTGTCTTATTATTGTCTGCCTTGTCCTATTGTGTTTTGCCTTATTATTGTCTGTTGTGTCTTATTATTGTCTGCCTTGTCCTATTGTGTTTTGCCTTATGATTGTCTGTTGTGTCATATTATTGTCTGCCTTGTCCTATTGTGTTTTGCCTTATGATTGTCTGTTGTGTCTTATTATTGTCTGCCTTGTCCTATTGTGTTTTACCTTAAGATTGTCTGTTGTCTTATTATTGTCTGCCTTGTCCTATTGTGTTTTGCCTTATGATTGTCTGTTGTGTCTTATTATTGTCTGCCTTGTCCTATTGTGTTTTACCTTAAGATTGTCTGTTGTCTTATTATTGTCTGCCTTGTCCTATTGTGTTTTGCCTTATGATTGTCTGTTGTGTCTTATTATTGTCTGCCTTGTCCTATTGTGTTTTGCCTTATGATTGTCTGTTGTGTCTTATTATTGTCTGCCTTGTCCTATTGTGTTTTGCCTTATGATTGTCTGTTTTGTCTTATTATTGTCTGCCTTGTCCCATTGTGTTTTGCCTGATGATTGTCTGTTGTGTCGTTTTATTGTCTGCCTTGTCCTATTGTGTTTTGCCTTATGATTGTCTGTTTTGTCTTATTATTGTTTGCCTTGTCCCATTGTGTTTTGCCTTATGATTGTCTGTTTTGTCATATTATTGTCTGCCTTGTCCTATTGTGTTTTGCCTTATTATTGTCTGTTGTGTCTTATTATTGTCTGCCTTGTCCTATTGTGTTTTGCCTTATGATTGTCTGTTGTGTCTTATTATTGTCTGTCTTGTCCTATTGTGTTTTGCCTTATGATTGTCTGTTGTGTCTTATTATTGTCTGCCTTGTCCTATTGTGTTTTGCCTTATTATTGTCTGTTGTGTCTTATTATTGTCTGCCTTGTCCTATTGTGTTTTGCCTTATTATTGTCTGTTGTGTCTTATTATTGTCTGCCTTGTCCTATTGTGTTTTGCCTTATTATTGTCTGTTGTGTCTTATTATTGTCTGCCTTGTCCTATTGTGTTTTGCCTTATGATTGTCTGTTGTCTTATTATTGTTGTCTGCCTTGTCCTATTGTGTTTTGCCTTATGATTGTCTGTTGTCTTATTATTGTTGTCTGCCTTGTCCTATTGTGTTTTACCTTAAGATTGTCTGTTGTGTCATATTATTGTCTGCCTTGTCCTATTGTGTTTTGCCTTATGATTGTCTGTTGTGTCTTATTATTGTCTGCCTTGTCCTATTGTGTTTTACCTTAAGATTGTCTGTTGTCTTATTATTGTCTGCCTTGTCCTATTGTGTTTTGCCTTATGATTGTCTGTTGTGTCTTATTATTGTCTGCCTTGTCCTATTGTGTTTTACCTTAAGATTGTCTGTTGTCTTATTATTATCTGCCTTGTCCTATTGTGTTTTGCCTTATGATTGTCTGTTGTGTCTTATTATTGTCTGCCTTGTCCTATTGTGTTTTGCCTTATTATTGTCTGTTGTGTCTTATTATTGTCTGCCTTGTCCTATTGTGTTTTGCCTTATTATTGTCTGTTGTGTCTTATTATTGTCTGCCTTGTCCTATTGTGTTTTGCCTTATTATTGTCTGTTGTGTCTTATTATTGTCTGCCTTGTCCTATTGTGTTTTGCCTTATGATTGTCTGTTGTGTCTTATTATTGTCTGCCTTGTCCTATTGTGTTTTGCCTGATGATTGTCTGTTGTGTCATATTATTGTCTGCCTTGTCCTATTGTGTTTTGCCTTATGATTGTCTGTTGTGTCTTATTATTGTCTGCCTTGTCCTATTGTGTTTTACCTTAAGATTGTCTGTTGTCTTATTATTGTCTGCCTTGTCCTATTGTGTTTTGCCTTATGATTGACTGTTGTGTCTTATTATTGTCTGCCTTGTCCTATTGTGTTTTACCTTAAGATTGTCTGTTGTCTTATTATTGTCTGCCTTGTCCTATTGTGTTTTGCCTTATGATTGTCTGTTGTGTCTTATTATTGTCTGCCTTGTCCTATTGTGTTTTGCCTTATGATTGTCTGTTGTGTCTTATTATTGTCTGCCTTGTCCTATTGTGTTTTGCCTTATGATTGTCTGTTGTGTCTTATTATTGTCTGCCTTGTCCCATTGTGTTTTGCCTTATGATTGTCTGTTTTGTCTTATTATTGTCTGCCTTGTCCCATTGTGTTTTGCCTGATGATTGTCTGTTGTGTCGTTTTATTGTCTGCCTTGTCCTATTGTGTTTTGCCTTATGATTGTCTGTTTTGTCTTATTATTGTTTGCCTTGTCCCATTGTGTTTTGCCTTATGATTGTCTGTTTTGTCATATTATTGTCTGCCTTGTCCTATTGTGTTTTGCCTTATGATTGTCTGTTGTGTCTTATTATTGTCTGCCTTGTCCTTTTGTGTTTTGCCTTATGATTGTCTGTTGTGTCTTATTGTTGTCTGCCTTGACCTATTGTGTTTTGCTTTATGATTGTCTGTTGTCTTATTATTGTCTGCCTTGTCCTATTTTGCCTTATGATTGTCTGTTGTGTCATATTATTGTCTGCCTTGACCTATTGTGTTTTGCTTTATGATTGTCTGTTGTCTTATTATTGTCTGCCTTGTCCTATTTTGCCTTATGATTGTCTGTTGTGTCATATTATTGTCTACCTTGTCCAATTGTGTTTTGCCTTATGTCTGTCTGTTGTGTCTTATTATTGTCTGCCATGTCATATGATTGTATGATTTTCTGCCACATCTTCTCATTGTCTGCTATGTATTACGATTGTGTCTTGTAACAGATAATTGTTTATCATGTCTTATGTTTCTTTAATGTCTTATGATTGTCTGCCTTGTTTTATGATTGTCTGCCATGTCTTATGATGCCTTGTTTAACCCACCTAATTGAAATGTGTTTGTCTTAAAGACTGCGATCATCTGATGATGCTAAGAAGCGCACCGGCTTTCCGAGGTTTGGCTCCAAGTACCGTTACTCTGGGCGCACGTTATACCAGACACGACTGAATGCATCAATGGCTGACCGTCCCTCGAAGCACTTTGAACGAACTCACAGTCGCCAGTCGCTCAACTCAGTTTTAAACAACAACAGGGTCAGAAGTCAGGATCATTGTGAGTGTTACCGAATGTCACCCTTGATGTGGCAGTTGTATGTGTGTGTGGGTGCATGCACACACACATTACATTCAAGCTGTCTATCTCACATCATTCTCACAAACTGCCAGGTTTAATCCGAGGCTACTGTCTGGATTGAGAACAGTGGCTGAGTGTGAGCCCATCAAATGGCACAGTTATCTTAGGCCATGAAGCTGGATAGACAATATTTGGTTCTTCTTGATTAAATGTGCTGTGAAAGCAGTGAGATGTTTGATCCTAATAAAACCAGAATAAACATGGAAACATCAAGATGTTTCTAGTGAATAATACCTGAACATGCGTGGAAACATCAGGACGTTTGTGTTGGACAATTATTCATTATCCATACAAGTTTCTTCTCTTGGCACAACACTCTTGTTTGAAACTGTCTTGACTGCCTCAACTGACCTGGTCATCTTCTCCAGACAGCTGCCCGAATTTGAGACTGTCTACTCCAGCCGACCAGGTTGTGAAACTTGCTTTCTCTGGACAAATCTTTCCTTGCTTTCTGTGGACAAAGCTGTGTTAATCTGAAACTTTGCTTGAGTTATCTACCTGATAAATGTGGCACTGTCACTAACAGCTCTGAAACATCAGATGTGTAAGTTCTTAGAGACAGCGGCCCAAATCTTGCAGACGATCAAATGGAGCCAGTATATTTGAAGACTCATGAATTAGTCCACAGTTTTTGTAGTTAATGTATTGTTTTGCATATTGTATAATGATTCAACAAGCGGGGAAAGCGATGCTGCAGACTGTGATCTTTGACCTTTTGGCTGATACCTGTAACTTCTTCAAGCATTTGTTGCCTGGATTAATCTTCTTCAAACATTACACAGCCTCATTGTTGTTTGGTCATCTCTGCTTCCTATTCTACAGGCGGTGCCCCAAGCAGCTACATAATGCTAGTAGGCAAAGGATACTAGCCTCCCCCATCCAAGAAGGCTTCCGTAAATGCACAGCCGCTCATAGAATCCTGATACGGGGCTCACCTGAGGAATCGTCATGTCCTGCTTATGGCTGTCTAACCTCACGACACATATTAATCCTCCCACACGTCACATTGATCCTCCCACACGTCACATTGATCCTCCCACATGTCACATTGATCCTCCCACTCATCACATTGATCCTCCCACATGTCACATTGATTCTCCCATTTGTCATATTGTTCCTCCCACACATCCCATTGTTTCTCCCACACATCACATTGATCCTCCCACACATCACATTGATCCTCCCACACATCCCATTGTTTCTCCCACACATCACATTGATCCTCCCACACATCCCATTGATCCTCCCACACATCCCATTGTTCCTCCCACATGTCACATTGATCCTCCCACATGTCACATTGATCCTCCCCCATCACGTCACACATTGTTCCCCCCACCACATCACATTGTTCCTCGCACACGTCACATTGTTCCTCCCACATGTCACATTGATCCTCCCATTCGTCACATTGTTCCTCCCACACGTCACATTGTTCCTCCCAACGTCACATTGTTCCTCCCAACGTCACATTGTTCCTCCCAATGTCACATTGTTCCTCCCAACGTCACATTGTTCCTCCCAACGTCACATTGGTCCTTTGACAAATCCCATTGTTCCTCCCACACGTCCCATTGTTCCTCCCACATGTCCCATTGTTCCTCCCACACATCCCATTGTTCCTCCCACACGTCACATTTTTCCTCCCACACATCCCATTGTTCCTCCCACACATCACAAGCTGTACCTTTAGCAACCAGCAGGAGTCAGTGCAGCCCTGGACAGTTGATGACCTATATAACATGACAGCTTCAGTTGCTCAGCATGTTTGACTGCTCTTGTTGTGGACTCCCTCTGCAACATAATTTCACATTGTGACCACATTTTACATAGAAGCCCTGAACCAGTTTGCTGGTTTACTGACATTGGGGTCTGTTCCATTTATTCTAGAAAGCATTCTTGGGGCAAAGCTCTCTCTTGAAATTCTGAGGAGTATGGCCTTTGGTAGCAGAAACGTGTGAACCTTTTCCTACTTAAAAAAAGAGATGTTTGATCTATGTACATTTGAATCATTTCAGAGAGTTGTCACATTTAGCTTGATGTTGTCTTAGAGTTGTCACATTTACAGTGATGTTGTCTTGAGGGGGGGAAATATATCTTCTCTGATACTCAGCCTCGTCACAGTGGTAAACTGTGTAACTGTGTACAAGTTAAATCAAAGGGAGTGTTGATAGCGAACCATTTTATTCTAATTTGTGAATCACTAAATAATTAGCTTCCTGCATTGAATAGAGTTTTATTGTTGTTTGGTAATCAATAAATGATTGACTTCCTGCAGTGAATCATCACCGAGAGCCATTCTTTGAACATGGGATGGATATTCACAACATATCTTTCGATGCAGTCAGACAAGACAGAATCATTGCACCTCCTGTACAAATTGATGACAGCCGAACACCCCGACAACTGCCTGTCCGTGGCAAAGAATCACCCAAGCTTATATCCCGTGAGGTGATCAGAAAACATAGTAAGTAACCCGCTAGTGTTTGTTATATTGTGAAGCTCGCCAATCTACTTTTCTAGTGTTTGTTATATTGTGAAGCTTGCCAATCTACTTTTCTAGTGTTTGTTATATTGTGAAGCTCGCCAATCTACTTTTCTAGTGTTTGTTATATTGTGAAGCTTGCCAATCTACTTTTCTAGTGTTTGTTATATTGTGAAGCTTGCCAATCTACTTTTCTAGTGTTTGTTGTATTGTGAAGCTCGCCAATCTACTTTTCTATTGTTTGTTATATTGTGAAGCTTGCCAATCTACTTTTCTAGTGTTTGTTATATTATGAAGCTCACCAGTCTACTTTTCGTTCGGTTTTATCTCTTTCCATAGTAAGTTATCTACACCCATTTGATTTTTATTCAGTAATGGCAGCTTCATAAACAGAAACAGACCAGTACTTACTGCTTGACTAGACAGTAAATTCATTTGTAGTTCTTAATTCATCACACTTCTTCTTTACATCCTTTTTTACCGCTTTGGGTGTCGAGGAGGATATAAGGTCCTGCTTCATGCTCTTCTGGCTGCTTTGACCATAGACACATCGTGGTGCTGTAGAGTTTCTCTGATATCTTTCCATTTTGTTCTTGGTCTACCTCTTGCTTTACATCCCTCTCCTCTTTTGGTATATGCCTTGTGTGGTACAGCATCAGAAGGCATTCTCTCCAAGTGGGTAAACAGTTTTATTTGCTGTCTCTGTGTGTCATTTAGAATTGGTTCTGTGTCGAATTTATCTCATATGACTTCATTCCTGATTTCATCTCTTCTGGTCACTCCTGCAGCCTTTCTCAGACACCTCATTCCCATGGTTACTAATTTTCTTTTATGTTTTGTTGTCAGTGACCACATCTGGCACTGGTAGCATAGGTTGGAAATGAATATGCTTTGTATGAGATGTTTCTTTGTGCTGATTGGGATTGCCTAATGCTGTAAGAGAGGATCTAGCTATCCCAATACTCGGCCAGCTTTACTGCAATCATTCATCAGTGGCTGAACAGAACATTTGTAGTTCTCGATTAATCGGTGGCCTAACAAAATTCTGTAGTTCTCATTTTGACAGTGGCCAAACACAAATCTATAGTTCTCAATTTACCAGTGGCCAGAAAAAAAAACAGTACACATTATCATTCTTTTTTCTTACAATCACTATTTCACAAGGTCTGTTTTCTTATAAACAACAGTAAACATGTTTTTCTTACAGTCGATAGTACACATTATCATTCTGTTTTCATACTGTCAACAAAACACAAGGTCTGGTTTCTTACTATTAACAGTACACATCTTCTGTTTTCTTAATTAAAATTATACATTATCAGTCTTGATTTTTTTTTTTTACAGTCAAGGGTACACAAGATCTATTTGCTTACAGTCAACAGTACATATTATTGTTCTGTTTTCTTAGTCAACAGTACACATTATCAGTCTGTTTTCTTACAGTCAACAGTACACTTTATCAGTCTGTTTTCTTACAGTCAACAGTACATATTATATCTGCATATTTTCTTACAGTCAACAGTACACATTATCTGTTCTATTTTCCTATAATCAACAGTACACATTATCTGTCTGTTTTCTTACAGTCAACAGTACACATTATATCTGCGTATTTTCTTACAGTCAACAGTACACTTTATCAGACTGTTTTCTTTCAGTCAACAGTACACATTATCTGTTTTCTTTCAGTCAACAGTACACATTATCTATCTGTTTTCTTACAGTCAACAGTACACATTATATGTCTGTTTTTTTACAGTCAACTGTACACATTATATGTCTTTCTTAGTCAACAGTACACATTATCAGTCTGTTTTCTTACAGTCAACAGTACACATTATCGGTCTGTTTTCTCACAGTCAACAGTACATATTATAATGTGTATTTTCTTACAGTCAAAAGTACACATTAAAATGTGTATTTTCTTACAGTCAACGGTACATATTATCGGTCTGTTTTCTTACAGTCAACAGTACACATTATCAATCTGTTTTCTTAGTCAACAGTACATATTATTGGTCTGTTCTATTTTCCTATAATCAACAGTACACTTTATCAGTCTGTTTTCTTACAGTCAACAGTACACTTTATCAGTTTATTTTCTTAGTCAACAGTACACTTTATCAGTCTGTTTTCTTAGTCAACAGTACACTTTATCAGTCTGTTTTCTTACAGTCCACAGTACACTTTATCAGTCTATTTTCTTAGTCAACAGTACACTTTTTCAGTCTGTTTTCTTACAGTCAACAGTACACTTTATCAGTCTGTTTTCTTACAGTCAACAGTACACTGTCTGTTTTCTTAAGTCAACAGTACACATTATCAGTCTGTTTTCTTACAGTCAGCAGTACACATTATCTGTCTGTTTTCCTAAAGTGAACAGTGCACATTATCTGTCCGTTTTCTAACAATTAACAGTACACATTGTCTATTTTCTTGCAGTCAACGGTACACATCATCTGTCTCTTTTCTTACATTCAACAGTACACATTATCTTTCTATTTTCTTACAGTCAACGGTACACATTATCTGTCTCTTTTCTTACAATCAACAGTACACATTATCTGTCTATTTTCTTACAATCAACAGTACACATTATCTGTCTATTTTCTTACAATCAACAGTACACATTATCTGTCTATTTTCTCACAATCAACAGTAGAAGTATATGAAGAAGATGAAGAAGACCATGACATAGAAATGCCAGATGTGCCTGAGGACTCCCCACGGGAACAAAGAAGACCAGTGTCTAACCATCACAGTCTAGGGGGCGTAGCAACACCTCTAGCTGGCCTGTCTGCACGAAAGCCAGACTCAGACAGTGAATCGGACAGAACTCCCAGAGGCAGTCTTCATTCTGTTGACCTAGACGAGGAAGAGTCAAATATTACAGTTAAACCTGAAGTTGCAGCAAAACCTGGAAAGGCGAAACCACCACCAGTTGCAAAGGTAAATTGTTGCAAATAGTTGTTTTTTTTATATAATTTTTTAAATTTTGTGTATGTGTTAATTCCAGTACACATTTAATGTAGATAAACTGACTCTATATACCTTTAGAGTGATTTGTTGGCATATCTGTGTCAGGCATTCGTTTATACTGGTGGCTATTTTACATTGAACACTGTTTTGTTCTTCCTTGTCAAATACTCCTTTCACTTCTGTTTTGATGTGTATTAGAAACTTCTACTCCTCTCTCCAGGAAGTCCTCTCTGGAACAGCATTTAAGGAGCTATCAGTTGTTTAACTACAGATCCGTTAGGTGTGGTGGATGAAACTGCTTCTCTTTAGTCGTCCCATAGCTAGATTTTGGAATCTTTCATTCATAGGGTGACTAGGCATACTAAGACACTGTTCTGCTTGTATTAGCATCTTGGTGTCTGTGCGTTCACTCAGTACTTGGGTCATCCCCACTTTCTCCATCATTAGCACAGACATGTAATTAAGTATTAAATGTCAATATTCTATAATTGTTCTTTTTTTTTTTATTTAAACACATTCAGAAGCCAGACAAACCACCTAAGCCAGAGAAGCCTACAAAAGCAGAGAAGCCTACAAAAGCAGAGAAGCCTACGAAAGCAGAGAAGCCTCCAAAAGCAGAAAAGCCTCCAAAAGCAGAAAAGCCTCCAAAAGCAGAGAAACCTTCAAAGAAAGAGAAAGGAAAGGAAAAAGAAGCTGTTAGGGAGGTTTTTATGTAATGTGTATAATATAAAAGAGATTTTTGAAAGGGACAAAAAGTATAAATGATTGTATGCTATAATATCTGTTGTATGTGCATCCAAATTCTGTGAGCAGAGTGTTGCATCCGTGTAGTTTCTTACACAAGTTTCTGTTTCATGTGTTTTTACAACAGCATTTAACATGATATAACTGAGAAACACGGAGCACTCTTTATGTCAAACTAAATCCAGCACTTCTGTCACCATTGAGTGCTGTTTTACACATCTCTTCAGACGAGAGACAGTTTGTTTCATTGCCAGTTGGCAGTGTCGAGGCGTTTCTAATTATTGTTGTAAATCTCTGTATGAGCTGTGGAGTAGAAGTGTCTGTATGAGCTGTGGAGTAGAAGTGTCTGTATGAGCTGTGGAGTAGAAGTGTCTGTATGAGCTGTGGAGTAGAAGTGTCTGTATGAGCTGTGGAGTAGAATGTCTGTATGAGCTGTGGAGTAGAATGTCTGTATGAGCTGTGGAGTAGAATGTCTGTATGAGCTGTGGAGTAGAAGTGTCTGTATGAGCTGTGGAGTAGAAGTGTCTGTATGAGCTGTGGAGTAGAATGTCTGTATGAGCTGTGGAGTAGAAGTGTCTGTATGAGCTGTGGAGTAGAAGTGTCTGTATGAGCTGTGGAGTAGAATGTCTGTATGAGCTGTGGAGTAGAATGTCTGTATGAGCTGTGGAGTAGAATGTCTGTATGAGCTGTGGAGTAGAATGTCTGTATGAGCTGTGGAGTAGAAGTGTCTGTATGAGCTGTGGAGTAGAATGTCTGTATGAGCTGTGGAGTAGAATGTCTGTATGAGCTGTGGAGTAGAATGTCTGTATGAGCTGTGAAGTAGAGTGTCTGTATGAGCTGTGGAGTAGAAGTGTCTGTATGAGCTGTGGAGTAGAATGTCTGTATGAGCTGTGGAGTAGAAGTGTCTGTATGCGCTCTGGAGTATAACTATCCAATGTACTGGGGCATGATGTTCGCAGCCTGACAGCCGCAGTTACTGAGTGAAAGATTCAGTCTGACACAGTTACTGAGTGAAAGATTCAGTCTGACACAGTTACTGAGTGAAAGATTCAGTCTGACACCTACAGTTACTGAGTGAAAGATTCAGTCTGACACCTACAGTTACTGAGTGAAAGATTCAGTCTGACACCTACAGTTACTGAGTGAAAGATTCAGTCTGACACCTACAGTTACTGAGTGAAAGATTCAGTCTGACACAGTTACTGAGTGAAAGATTCAGTCTGACACCTACAGTTACTGAGTGAAAGATTCAGTCTGACACAGTTACTGAGTGAAAGATTCAGTCTGACACCTACAGTTACTGAGTGAAAGATTCAGTCTGACACCTACAGTTACTGAGTGAAAGATTCAGTCTTGACACCTACAGTTACTGAGTGAAAGATTCAGTCTTGACACCTACAGTTACTGAGTGAAAGATTCAGTCTGACACCTACAGTTACTGAGTGAAAGATTCAGTCTGACACCTACAGTTACTGAGTGAAAGATTCAGTCTGTCACCTACAGTTACTGAGTGAAAGATTCAGTCTGACACCTACAGTTACTGAGTGAAAGATTCAGTCTGACACTTACAGTTACTGAGTGAAAGATTCAGTCTGACACCTACAGTTACTGAGTGAAAGATTCAGTCTGACACTTACTCTTACTGAGTGAAAGATTCAGTCTGACACTTGCAGTAACTGAGTGAAAGATTCAGTCTGACATAGTTACTGAGTGAAAGATTCAGTCTGACACCTACAGTTACTGAGTGAAAGATTCAGTCTGACACTTACTCTTACTGAGTGAAAGATTCAGTCTGACACCTGCAGTTACTGAGTGAAAGATTCAGTCTGACACCTACAGTTACTGAGTGAAAGATTCAGTCTGACACCTACAGTTACTGAGTGAAAGATTCAGTCTGACACCTACAGTTACTGAGTGAAAGATTCAGTCTGACACTTACTCTTACTGAGTGAAAGATTCAGTCTGACACCTACAGTTACTGAGTGAAAGATTCAGTCTGACACGTACTCTTACTGAGTGAAAGATTCAGTCTGACACCTGCAGTTATTGAGTGAAAGATTCAGTCTGACACCTACAGTTACTGAGTGAAAGATTCAGTCTGACACCTACAGTTACTGAGTGAAAGATTCAGTCTGACACCTACAGTTACTGAGTGAAAGATTCAGTCTGACACCTACAGTTACTGAGTGAAAGATTCAGTCTGACACTTACTCTTACTGAGTGAAAGATTCAGTCTGACACCTACAGTTACTGAGTGACAGATTCAGTCTGACACCTACAGTTACTGAGTGAAAGATTCAGTCTGACACCTACAGTTACTGAGTGAAAGATTCAGTCTGACACCTACAGTTACTGAGTGAAAGATTCAGTCTGACACTTACTCTTACTGAGTGAAAGATTCAGTCTGACACCTACAGTTACTGAGTGAAAGATTCAGTCTGACACCTACGGTTACTGATTGAAAGATTCAGTCTGACACCTACAGTTACTGAGTGAAAGATTCAGTCTGACACCTACAGTTACTGAGTGAAAGATTCAGTCTGACACCTACAGTTACTGAGTGAAAGATTCAGTCTGACACCTACAGTTACTGAGTGAAAGATTCAGTCTGACACCTACAGTTACTGAGTGAAAGATTCAGTCTGACACCTACAGTTACTGAGTGAAAGATTCAGTCTGACACCTACAGTTACTGAGTGAAAGATTCAGTCTGACACCTACAGTTACTGAGTGAAAGATTCAGTCTGACACTTACAGTTACTGAGTGAAAGATTCAGTCTGACACCTACAGTTACTGAGTGAAAGATTCAGTCTGACACCTACAGTTACTGAGTGAAAGATTCAGTCTGACACCTACAGTTACTGAGTGAAAGATTCAGTCTGACACCTGCAGTTACTGAGTGAAAGATTCAGTCTGACACCTACAGTTACTGAGTGAAAGATTCAGTCTGACACTTGCAGTAACTGAGTGAAAGATTCAGTCTGACACAGTTACTGAGTGAAAGATTCAGTCTGACACCTACAGTTACTGAGTGAAAGATTCAGTCTGACACTTACTCTTACTGAGTGAAAGATTCAGTCTGACACCTGCAGTTTCTGAGTGAAAGATTCAGTCTGACACCTACAGTTACTGAGTGAAAGATTCAGTCTGACACTTACAGTTACTGAGTGAAAGATTCAGTCTGACACCTACAGTTACTGAGTGAAAGATTCAGTCTGACACTTACTCTTACTGAGTGAAAGATTCAGTCTGACACTTACTCTTACTGAGTGAAAGATTCAGTCTGACACTTACAGTTACTGAGTGAAAGATTCAGTCTCACCTGCAGTTACTGAGTGAAAGATTCAACAAGAAAAAAGTGAGGCTGTCACAGGAAGATTTTTAGATTGTACATATGCCTAGCCTGTCAGCTCATAGTCTTTTGTCTGTGAACGGTCCTGTCAGCTCATAGTGTTTTGTCTGTGAACTGTCCTGTCTATGCTCATGTTTAGAATGTTTGTACGTAGCTCACTGGTAAATTGTTTTATTTCCATTATTCATTACTGGCCTGTCAAATTACAATTATCATCGAAATAATTTTAGTCTTCAGTTTTTTATGTCAGTGACCATTTTTAATCAAAACTGAAGTTTTAAAATGTCGAACTCTGGTTTTATGTTTAGTTTTATATTTAGTGAGTTATTATGTTTTGTGTTTTTATATCTGTTTTAAACATTTTAAAAGCATGTACATGATTATTTCATTAATTAGGTTGTCTCATTTGTTCATTGTCATTTTTTAATCATCCTTGATGTGTTTGACATAATTGATGCTGTCTTTTCAAATTTATACATAACTGTAAATAAAATTCTGTATATTGTCGTTTTGTCATCTGTAATGCTTGTCATGGCTTTACTCATCAGAAAAAATGACACTTGATGCCGACCGACGTGTTCTGAGTTTATGCCAGCTGTATTCGTTACTCCATGCAGGTGTGTGTGTCTTCTATTCTTTGTAATGTTCTGTCCACTGTCCCAGCTCCAGAAACAAACAGAAGCCAGCTCTTGTCAACTGTCTGGTCTGTACAGAATTCTTTGCTGTGACAGACCAAATCATTTTATCCAGAGGAAACACATTAATGTGACTTGGCTGTTTGACAACTTTTTTTTTTTTTTTTTAATTAGTTTTTTTTTTGACTTCACAAATTTATAATTTAAAAAGATTGTGTATCAGTTTCATTGTAATCCATTTTATTTTTGTTTGTTTTTATTTATCAATAATTTTTTAGGGGAATTGCTGTCTTTTGCAATGTTTACCACAGTTCTGTCAGGGAGATTTGCAAATATCTCAATTGAAGAATCATTCGTTAGCCTGGATCTTTTATAATTTGTTTTAATTAAAATACAATTTGAAGGTCTTGGTTCATAGGGCTAGGTTTGTTGTTTAAATGAAACATTGATCATGTTTGTATGATTAGATGTCTGTCTCATCTTGCTAGCAGTCTGCATTAAGTTGAATCGCAGTAGATGACTCAGAGGAACAAGAGCAGCGGAGGATCACCTTATTTAGCTTTGTCACCTCAGAAACAGGTTTACAACAGCTTCCTCGACTGTGCAGTCATTGCCTCCAGGTCATTATATATCTAAACAAACTGTTCAAAATAGACTGCAGGATGCTGGACTTTGAGCACGGTGACCTCACTGTGGACTTGACCTTACATGCAATCATCACCAAAATTGGCTTCTTTGGTCCAACCAGCATCGAGCAGCTGACAATCAGTGAAGACATGTCTGGTTTAGTGACAGATCTGTCTGTTGTATGGCTGTGCCATGGTTGATATCATAGGGTCTACCATAGACAAATGAATGTTTAGCCAAAATTGTGCTGATGATGCTTCACGGGGGGGGGGGGGGGGGGGGGTCGCTTACAGTTAAAGCAGTCAGTTGATGTACACTGAAGACTAAAGGACGCTTGAATACGCAAAGATATGTAAA